AGCCGCTGGGGCCCCCTCAGCGCCCTCAGGGCCTGTGTTGAAAAAGCGTGTCCACCCCGCTCCCCCTTTTTCACTTTTCCTGCCAGCAGAGTGGGTTGCTTACTGCAGCTAATGGCGCCTTGAGGTGCACCCACCTCTGGGTGCGGGGTGCCTCCTCTCCTGCTCCTCCGTGTGCCCCTGGCTTTCCTCCCGCCTGAAACCACCCCGCAGAGCTTGCCAGCACGGTGGTGGATGATGAAATCTCTGTGTAACGCTATGATTTGACCAAAATAGAGCTAACTGCCCTTCTCATCGTTTTCCCCCAGGGACTTCTGGGCTGGGTGCTGCTGAGATTTAGGAAGTTGCCGCTGCGCCTGTAATGCTAGCAGTAGGTACTCTGAAATTTAGGGGTTATTGTGCATATGCTCATTCCCTCGTGATTCAGCTCATTGTTATTTAAATATGAAAAATTAATCAGTTATCTAAATCTCAGAAGATTTCAAGTTCTTCAGGTACAGCATAAAGAGTTCATTTTAGTGTCTTTGCTCATTGAAATGAAAGCACAAGAGCTGTGGTAGGAGTGCCTAGCGCATTCACTTGTTCTCTTTCTCTGTTTTAAGCTTTTGAAGGAAAACGTTTTCTTCACAACTTTCTTCCTACATCAGGAGGTTGTTTACAACCTGTCGAGCTGAGCAGTTGGTGCTGAGGAGCTTTACATTGACTCTTCAACACTGTTTTGAGGAGTAATTACTACATTCTTGTTGCCAACTCCAGAACTTTGCTTTCGCCAATCATACCCAGTTGTTTAAAGTAGGCACCAACCTTGCTAAGACTTAAGCTAAGCATGTGCCTAACTGCAGTGCGACATCCCACAGAGTTCATTGGAACTATTTGCTTCTTGGTAGGAGAGAGAGTTTCCGATTGTAGATTACCCAAAGTGCAGAGTGTATATTCCTGTACGTTATAGAGCCTCTGACAGAATTAGGTCTAGTTTTCAGAAGGTTATGGACTCTGCTAAAGTGTTGTGAAAGTAAAAAGTGTTAAGTGGCACAATTGTGACAGAATCCCCCAAATCGGCTGGTGAGGCATAATCTCAGTGTCTCACCTTTGATTCTGTTTTCTACCTCTGAAAATGTATATTCCATGGGATACTGCAACTAGAAAAAAATTAGCTAAGCAATGAAAACTTCAAACGTGAAGAGAAAACTAACCAACTCCTATTGGAGGTGGGCTGGAGAAAGCAAATCACAGAATACCCTGTAGTTTTTGCAGCTAATTGTGTTCAGGCGGTAGCTAACACACAGAATTAAACTGTTTCCGAGAGCTGGTATAAGTGTTTTTTAGGCATCAGAGCTGATAAATACTCTACAGCACCACAGTGCCACAAGTAGAATTGTACATCCTCTCTCTACCAGCTCATATAGACGGACCATTTCCTGAAAAGGTAACTTTGTTCTGGTAGACTTTGTATGGGATTAGGTACCGTCTTGCTCAGGTGATGCCAAAGCTGCACACTGATGGAAGGTAAGGGAGTACTTTTTACATACTTTCTTTGTTACATGCTCCCTTGGGGCGTCTATTTTTGCCCACTGTCAAGGGTGAAAGCAGTGGGCAGCGTGGCCATTTAGTCTGTTCTGGTGTAATTATTTTTATTTTCTTAGCTGAAGGGTGACCCCCAAAAGAGAGTCTATTCTCTGAGGTGTATCTGGAATATAAGGTTTTATATAGCAAACGTGGCTCCAGTCCTACCACCTGCAAATCTGTGCTTGTCAGCTGCTGACTTGAGTGGGCATGCAGAGCTTAGGGAGATTAAGACAAAACGCCAGCTAGTTATAAGATCATGGTTTTGTCCTGTCTGGTAACTAGTAGATTAACTTTCTGTTTGAATATAATAAAGCTTTATTTATTTTTCAGTTAGATTTTGTCTAGCGTGGGTAGTGATTTTCAGAGTAATATGGCAAATACCAAAGTGCTCATTCCTCATGGATTCACGAACCTGTAGGTTAATGGAGTATACTTGAGTTCTCTGAAAGTGCTTGATATCCCACATAACGTTGGGTTACGCAGATAACTGTCCGCAGATATTTTCTCCTCTGAGTTGCAAGTCCCTGATTCAAAGTTTGTAATACTGGATATTAAATTGTTGAGAAATATTAAGAGCATGCTATGAGACAGATCGCAGGGAGACAATCTAGATTCACTTCCCCAATTGTGACGGTGTTCACATAAAAGCAGATACAGCCAAAGAGTCACGTCTTCCAATCCACTTTATATTTGTTTCAAGAAAGGTAACTCTTTACCTCATACCAAAATCCGTGCTCCAGGGATTTCCGGACCTGCTGTTTTTCTCACTGCCTGTCCAAAAATATATATGCTGGGATGAACTAGTGCTGCATCAGTGAGGGCAGCCTGCTGTGTTAGCTATCAGACTCAGAATAGCTGTGTATATTCAGAAGGAAGTTACAGGGATAATGCCTAGAAGTTTCCTATTTTAGGGGAAGCAACAGCACATCTCAGCTGGGCACCCAAATCAAGGAGTGGAACGCTGACGGGCAGAGGGTTCAGAGCGGTGCTGGCATTGAGTTCTCAGTTGGGAAGCAGCAGCTTTTACTGTGTTTTAGAAAGCACTGAAGCGTGTGCAATAAACATATCATTAGCATTAGCAGTGGCACTAAGTTCCCATTGGCATCCTGCGGTTGCAACTGTGACAGTTTCTGAGCCAGCAGTGCTTCAGATTATGATTCATGCTGTGATGACAGGGACTGACCCGAGAAGGTAGACAAAGCAGTTGGCTGTATAGCATAGTACTATATAGTACACCCAAACCCCCACGCACTATTAAAAGGATTCCATTAAGACTGAATAACTGAGCTTTTAAAAACTCTAATTAGGTTTGTAATGCTACTTTACATGTAATGCTACTTTAGCGTGCTACGTTATTTCCCCTTTGTGCAACTCTGGCGATCTGAACACTGCAAACGTTTAATACATTCAATGCTTCCATACTTTGTTTAAAGTGCATTTTTTTAAGTTTTAGAAGCATAATAAGAAGACAAATTTTATCATGTGGTATCAGGTTGACGCCTAAGTTTTCTGCATAGTTAAGACCTTTCAGTCTGTCACTGGAGCTAACAGAGTGACTGACAGTCAGGCTACTATCCTTTATGGCAGCCAGCGACAGAGGTATTCTGTCAGTGTGTTTCAGGTGCACACCGTCTTAAGGAAACACTGTATTACTTTCTTTACATATAAATTAAATTATCATTAAGCTGCACTTGGTTCCATAAAATGGTATTTATTACCATTTTTATTTTCATTCAGTTCATTAAACTCTGCTTTTTATAAGTTTCTGCATTTTCCTTTTGTCTGAGTGATCTCAGCAGATTTTACTTGTTAAATACAAGGGTGTCTACACACAAACAAAATCAAAACCTCTGTCTTTCTTTCCTGCACTTTTAAGCTAACCAGTCATTCAAAATTGAGTTTATTTGACGTGTCTTAAAACTCTTTGCTGTAGCAGTGGGATCTGAAAGGTGACTCTCAGAATTTACTCCATCAAAAACAGATTATTTGACTTCCTCAAGTCAAGTGCTCAGCTTACTTGTGGTAACCTCTTGCATCTGCTGTGACACAACCAGTTACCTTTCCTGCTAGGCAAAGTCTTTTGAAACGGATATGGCTCTATTCTATCAGAAATAAAAATAAAAGTACTTTCGTAGCTATGAAAAGTTTACCGGCTAGTTCCTCTCTTGTGAATTTATGTGACATGATGCAAGCTACTGCAAGGGTTTATCATCTGGTTACCTATGTCTAGGATTATGTTTACATTACCGTCCCACCCTCTTACTTAGGACTTCAGCTACACAATTCTATGATTTTTCTTTTTTTTTTTAAATAAACTTCAAAATGGTGTAGGACTTAAAACCTAGGATGATAAAGGCCCATGAAGACAGCCCTTGAGAGGTGGAAATCAAGTGGTCGTTTGCTTTAAATCTTGTTCTAGAACAGTTTCACTTCATACACTGCCACTCGTAGGCCCTGACGTGGTAGTGGCTAATGAGGCCTGATAATTGAAGATTATCAGCAGTGATAATTTCCTTGAAGCCTCTGCAGAGCTGCAACAGTGGCATATTTATGTGCAGCTCCCATCCTTGAGGAAACGCAGCCTTCTCTGTTTGGAAACCTAATTTTTCCACATCCTCAGTTGTCACTATCAGTAGCTCAGCAGCGTGGTGTTAGTGTGTCCGTTCCTAGAGTTGCCAGGACTTTATTTGTACGGACCGCTTTGATTTGAGGTTGTTCTGCCTTATTGAACTTTGTGAGGTTTCTGTTGGCCTAATCCTGAAATCTATTGAGGTATCTCTGAATAAAGTTCTGCTGTTCATCGTGTCAGCCGCTCTCCCTAATTTGGTGTCCTTAAAACTTGCTAAGGAAATGTTCTGTGTCATTGTCCAGGCCTCTGATCAAGACGTTGAACCATATGGGCCACAGCATCAGCACAGGGAGAAAGAGTAAAGAGGACTGAAAGCTTGTAAATGCTTTCGCATTGGTCCCATATTGAGCAGTAGGAGAAAGGCTCAAAAGCCCAGGAGGCAGAAAAAGGAAGGACACACTCTTACAGCCTGACAAGAATTACGTTATTTAAGTCTTACCATAAAGCTGTATTGTATCATACATATCCTGTTGCACTGTTTGAGTCTACGTGTGATACAGCTGGGTCTTCTGGGTGTGATTTAGGAGATTTAGAGATGCAGGGCTGAAACCCTTTCCAGACCTAGGAGTCAGTGGAGAACCTGGATTTCACAGTCCTCCTCTGCTTGCTCTGGATCCCGGTCAGCATCAACGTTGGGAGAGGTGCATAACACAGGTAGGTGAATTTACAAGCTCGTAACTCTCACAGACACAGTTTCCTGCTTTTAGTGGTAGCT